AGTAAATAATAGACATGAGAGAAACATGGAGTAAAAGACTCGACATGTATGTCTGCATAGCTATGTAAACCATTTCATATAATAATGTCGTGCATATGCGTATAAATGTCATACCATGCATGGGTATATGCGTTCATAACATCATCAAGCCTCTGAAGGCATCTCATTATATCATCTCGGCCACTGTGGGCAAATCATCAACGTATACCAGCTGATCAGGTGGTGGTACATATATAACGACGTAACCTTTTTCCATATCCCATATACATATATATACATATATATGTGTATATAACGACATCTGGTCATGGGTCAATGTATATGTATAAATGCATGAAATGCATAAGAAATACGTTAATAATATTTTCTCGGAATGTCATAAAAATAATATGCCTTAAGAAATACGTTAATAAGATTTTTTCGAAATGTCATAAAAATAATATGCCTATCGGATAAATTTTATCAAATATGTATTTTTCTGAGACCCATGAATAGAATATATAATAATAATTCACATGGGGAATCAAGAATATAGACACCCCTAATATTTCTATGAATAGAGTCATTTATGGAAATTGTACATTTGCTCGTTTCGTATAGATCATGACAAAAGAAAAGAAGGGATATCCTTAACATACCTGGAGTAGGAAAAAATCCGCACGATATTCTTGAAAAAGGTTGCACCTACTCCCTTGGAATCGCAAAATCCCATTGTTATTGTACAGTGTAATTCCGTATGAATTGCTTTACTAATCTAAGAGTAGCTGTTGCTACTGTAACATGAAGTCTTATGTGAGCTTCCAACATCGCCTCCAAAAATGAATTTGATATCAATTGAATATCATCTGTAAAGATGACTAACTTGAAATTTCTTCTATGTTCTTTTAATGGCAAAGTGTAGTTTCCATGTGTTATCTTGATAGATTGCCCAACGACCCCTTAATGCCACCTATCCTAATGACTAATAAGTCATCAACTTGGACTTAATTTGCTTCCACCTTGAAGTGTAATGCTTATCCAAATGTGCTTAATTAATCACCCAATAATTTTTTAATTAACTAGATAATCTCCCATTACCCAATAATTAATCAATTTCTCATATAACTAAGAATTATCTCAAATTACTTAAAATACTACTTATTTTTAATACACCCTTATACATCATACTATTATGGTCATATGGTACCTTGTATGGCACTAGTCCATAAATACGAGGTATTATAGCTTGGACCGTATTTTATCCCAAATTGCCAAACTTCGGCGAAACTCATTTTCTTCTATTTGCTTACCTTCTCTCCTTCACGAATTTACTCATCACGTGTTTGAAATAGAATAATGCTTATAATCCCAAAATAATCTCAAAATAATCTCATTCCCGGACTTACGTCGAAACTTAAACATACGAAAATGCGGGATGTAACATCTCATTCCCGAATTTTCATCAATTCACTTATGGTATATTTTTACGTACGAAAACATGGGGTGTAACATGGTGTAACTAAATCATCAGGTTGACCATTCTGTTGAGTTGATGAGGATCGTCGCCTTCTTTGTAGAGAAGTTTCTCCATCATCGTCGATCATCACGGTGTCTATGACCGGCCCGGGAGAAGGGCTAGTCACCATAACTTTCGGAGACGACTCGAGGGCAGAAATCTTCGCCCTCTTATTCTTTTCCCCGACCGCGGAGCATCATCTTCTTTTTGGTTGCTTGTCCTCCGGCCAGGGACTCCGTGAAAAAAATACTTATACCCGAAGCAGGCCTGGAGACACCTGTTCGAGTAAGCGCCTCCTGAAGCAGCCTCGCCGGCTCAGCAGGATCAACCAAATCGTCCTCCTCGGGGATGACAACCGAGCCCGTAGGTAGACCTGATTCCAGAAAAAAGGGAAAAAAGGATCAATCAATTTCCTCGCATAGAAAGTAAAAACGAGACGAGTCTAAGTTATCATGATTTTTGGCCTTTCACCCGTATTTGAGTGCCAGTTCTTTCCATGTGCGGGTTTCGGGCGTAGTAACGTCCAAGATCTTCTAGACCTAATTGACCAAACCTTCAACCCTAGATAGAACCCATCGAGTTTCTGAAATAGGCGAAAAGAGAAGGATCGGTCTGGATATGAAGAAATTTCTAATAGAAGAAATATTTAAAAAGGAGCTTACGAGTGCGGTTCCATGATTCCGGAAAGGATGAAGCCGTTGCCGGAATGATATCATTGGTGGCAACTGCAACGAACCGTTCCATCCATCCACGGTCGTTGTCATCATCCATGCTAGATAATAAAGCATGGTGACTGCGTTTGCTGAAGTTTACCATTCCTCCGCGGAAGACTTTGGGGGAATAGAGATTCATCACATGAGCTAAGGATAGCTCCTCTCCCGTATCTTAGCACAAACGTCGGAGACAAAACATTGTCCTCCATACAGAAGGACTTACTTATGCCAAACACACCTGGTAGAGGAGGCAGAACTCCGCAATAACGGAGTCAAGCTCTCCACTCAAAGAAAACATACCCAAAGTAAAAGGATACGTGTAAAAATATGTAAAACCTTCCCTGGGTAGGATTACTCGTTCTGTTAGATCAGGAGAAACAATGTCCCAATCTTGGCAGCGACAATCTTCCTTCACAACAGAAATACTGGAAGGACGGATGGAAGAAGGGTATCTTCCAATGGCCCACGTGCGAGGGTTAGCCGAAGGAAATTTCTCTTCGAAGTTTTTTGTTGTAACAAGACTTCTTGGAATGATGGTTCCCACTGTTGGAGGAGCAGCGTCCTCGGCTTTGCTCTTGCTCTTTGAAGCGCTGGTGTTTTTTGAAGAAGAAGCCATTATATGTTATGGATGAAGGAAAAGCTTTTTCATTTGAAGGAAGTTAAAGAAAGGTTGAAGAACAAGAAAGATAGTTTTAGGAAGTTTAGAGAGTTATGAAGAATGAGTGAAGAAGGAGTATGAGTGAAGAAGGTTGATGCGTATAAGTAAAGGTTTAGGCGGCTAAATTCGTGGCCATGATTACCTTGATAACCGGCAAAAACTATGTTGAATGGTGGGATAACACGTGTTCGGGACATTAAATGTGGAGAAACGTGAATCTAATCAACCGTCAGAAGCTTTTCAGAAGGAATCATAGTAGTTCCCGCCAAAAAGAGTGTTTCTACCAACATCTCGGTGACACAAAGTTATGTCACCAGAAAGTAGAGGGACTATTTGTATACGGTAAAATATGCTATGCTAAGTTTTTGCTTAAGAGAGTGACACGTGGAACTTAAGGCGGGGGATAGTTAGAACCGAAGGCAATTATCCCATTTGTCACCGGAAAGAATGACACCAGTAAAGATACAACAAATACCCTTCGGCCGGTAGCATTTAATGAAGAATATTCCACAGCATTTAGCGCGTTGTCCGTTACAGAGAATTTGTCATTTATGCCCACTGTCAGTGTTTCAATAGGCGTTTTCGGGACGAGCCCCGAGGCGAGGCGTATCAAAAATGCCCCAGGGCGATGGTCTGGGGCGAAAGTTTCAAGAGGCGTACGCCCGGACGTTTGAGACACGTTTTTTAGTGAGGAGTAAGCCCCAGAGACTTTTTCAAATAAAAACAAAATTTGTTGAATAAGTCCTTCATATAATACCCAAATTCTCAAAAGTCAGTTTGCTAATTACTCAAATGGTTTAAAAAGGAACTCAAAAGTATTAAATTGTAACCCTAATTCATGGTCTTTCCCAATCCTTTATCTTGTCCGCTAGTCTACTAATATCTACAACGAATATTCTCCATTCTCGTTCATAGCAACAAGTTCAAAGTTCAAATTACAGGTTAATCATCTTTTTTGTTCCTTCATGTAGAAAGCTTTATTCTTTTAGACTCAAGTTACTTGTGCTTGTAAGTAGCGTATAATAAATTATTTTGACTAGTTTTTTGAGGGGATGGAGAACAAATATATATATATATATATATATATACACACACACATCACATATTTATAGTTTTCTTCAATTTTTATGCAATTTTACCTGTTTATGAATATTTAGTGTCATTATATTATTTTATAAAATATTAAAAATTAAATACCTATGGGGCTTACGCCCCATGCCTCGGGGCTTACGCCTCGCTGAGGCATATGTAAAACGCCTCGCCTTACGCCCACGCCTTTTAAAACACTGCTCACTGTTACACCTTCATCAATGGCCCTCATAATTGACATTAAAGAAGGGCACGGTCCTAGGACCTTGTTCCATAGGCGTAACTATAAATAGTGAGCTCTGTTATCATTGTTGAGGATACGACTTCTCTGGCAAACTTACGCTATAATCGATTAAAAACTTTTTTCAATTTTACTTTTTTGTTCCTTGTTTTATCACTGCTGTGCCCGAAAGCTTTGCCCCCGAAATTACTATTTTTCGTAATTTTATCTTCATTTCAAGGCTAAGTATTGCGTATTGATTTAATTATTTTATTTTTTTCAGGATCAAATTAATTCACATGTCTAGAAATCACGTATAAATTCAAATGTAGCGTTTTTCGAGTAAACAATAAAGTTATAAATCTAACCCTTTTTTCTTTATATCGTTAATTTTGCCTAACTTATTTCTAAACCAAACGACGGCGTACTAGGATCTCAGTATGCCCACTGTGTGCGCTGTGCATCTATTTAAGTTCGGAAATACTTGCAACTACCTCCTGATAGCGACCTCTAGTTAAAGGTCGAACACGTTGCCTCTCACAAGCTCAAGCTCTTCCCCACGTAAACCCTCACTTTAGCGCCTTATACGCGCGTTACACTCGAGCACCGCTTCGCTTACGTAAAACTTGTTCGACTTTTACCCTCTTTCGAACGGAATCGCCGAACCAGTCCTCCAACCCTGTTAAAACTCGAACAATTTCCCCCGAATCTAACACCGGCCCAGTCAAAGACAAAAAAAAGCTACTACGAACCTCAGGTTCGGTACCTTACTTGACAGCCTGTTTTGCTATTTTCGGCTTTCTTCACTTTGATATTCGTTAGTTTTTCTCACTTTTTTATTTCATAGTTGAAGCTCTCTTCAGTAGGAATCTTTTACGAACTATGAATGATGAATTTTCTCGAAGAGGAAGTTGAATTTTGGAGTTGAATTCTTCAGAATTAGTGTCTGTGCTTACGTTTTCTCCCGTTGATTTTGTTAGAATTAATGTTCGATAAAGTGTAATTTGATTGAAGTTTATGATCGAGAGTACGGAATTCCTGATTGACGGTTTAATTTGAGCTTTTCTACTCGAATTACTCTTTCGTTGAGGTAATTTTCGGCTGGAGATTTTTTTTTTCCACTTGTGTTTCAGCTTGTTGAGCTTGTGAACTGATTTTTGAATTCGTGAATTAGAATCCCTGCTGGTGTTACTGTATGATTCTGGAGTTGAAATTTTCTTATCGATGAAGAATTTTATTTTTATTTTATGAATTTTGTTAATTCTCTTGTTTTTACGGCTGAATTTCTGTGAATTAGGGTTCTTTTTGGGAGTTTTTCCTTAAATCAGCAATGCTGGATTTGATCTTCGTAACTGGTAAAGTATCTGCCTGAGGAAAATCGGTTCCGTTTATTCTCTGTTTTTGTTTTTCTTTTACTTGTAATTTTGTTGAACTTTTTTTATGCTAAAAAAATTGTAGCTCCGTGATTGCTGTGGATATCGTAGTTTTGCTGGGCGGAATTTCCTGCAGAAAGTGATCGGGTGAAGTCATGGCGCAGAGTAATTGGGAAGCAGATAAGATGTATGCAACTTCTTCCTGCGAGTCAGCTCATTGTAAATTTTCAGTTTCTTTGTTAAGGATGGAACGGGGACGTGTTAAACGTTTATCATCCATGCTTCACTACCAAAGATTAAAATATTGTATATTTTCTTTTATAAGTTAATTAAGTGCCAAATTCTCAAAAATAGTCGAAATAACAAACAAAACTTTCCAATCTTTCAAGTTCTTACTCGAGGGGGAAAAGTAAAATTCCTCCTCATTAAAGAGTAGTACTAGTTATGCGTGGGCAGAGTTACTCGGTACTTGTGCCGGTGGGAAGTAGCAGGTACCCTGTGGAGTATTCAGGTGCGTGCAAGCTGGCCCGGGCACCACTTTCGTAAAGAAAAAAAAAAGAGTACTACTTGTTTATAGTTATGACGTTATTGATTTTCATCCTCTGTTGATTTTGTTGCGTTGCTAGGCTTGATGTTTACATTCATGACTATTTGCTGAAAAGAAAGCTGCATAATTCTGCAAAAGCTTTCATGACGGAAGGAAAGGTTGCTACAGATCCCGTAGGTAATGATGTTAAACAATTCTCTACGTGTCGAGTTCTTTCTGCTCTAATTATTTCTATATATATATATATATATATATCATATTATCTCTAGCTGTTTGGCTAATTAATCTGCAGAATGGATCATGCTTATTCTCATTTTTTGTAAATTCTACCCATATGAGGTGTTCATAATTTGATTTGTCCTATTGTAGCCATTGATGCACCTGGAGGATTTCTATTTGAATGGTGGTCGGTGTTTTGGGACATTTTCATTGCACGGACAAATGAAAAACATTCTGAAGCAGCAGCAGCGTACATAGAGGTTTGTTTTAACTTATGCAAAGTGCCATTTGTCACCCTAAATAACATTAGAAGAAATTATGTGGCTTTTTAATTATAACCAACCTGAAGCACCTTGTTTTTGTTTGGTTTGAAATCTAGACACAGCAGATGAAAGCAAGGGAGCATCAACAACAGCTGCAGATGCAGCAGTTGCAACTCATGCAACAGCGAAATGCCCAGTTACAACGAAGGGATCAAAATCCCTCCCTTGGTGGTTCTATAAATGCTATGAACTCTGAAGGCATGATGGGGCAACCATCTGCTAGTGTTTTGGCCATGAAAATGTACGAGGAACAAATGAAGCACCCTCACTCCTTGGACTCCGAGACATCACCTCTTATTGATCCCAATAGGATGGCTCTTCTCAAGTCTGCAACTAATCATCAACGGTATGAGTTTTGTAACATTTTCTGGCAACATCTGCTGTGTTTGTTGCATTACTTTAGGTAGCCTCAATTGACTTGTTGCATGCTTTTTCTGAAATTCTGTACCTGCATGTCTTCTCTGTTGATTCAGCCAGTTGGCACAAGGTAATTCGGGGAGCATGTCTGCAGCATTGCAGCAAATGCAAGGGCGGCCTCAGCTGGCAACGGTGACTAATTGAACTCTTATTTTAGTAGACAATATCTATTTATTCTTGAGTTTATTTTCTTGTCTTGGACCAAGCTCATCTCAATATCCTTGGAAAATATGTAGGATATTAAAACGGAAGTGAACTTGAGTGGTAATCAGAAATCCGTGGATCCGTCGTCAATTTATGGCCAAGCAATTCTACAGTCAAAGTCGGGACTTGGTGGTGCAGGTACTATAGCTTCGTTGCTTATAACACCCTATATGTCCACCTACTTAACTAATGATCTCTAGCTGATAATGTTTTATTTTTATATGAAATGCACATGGAATGAGTTTGGTATATTTTCTTATTTATCCTTGAAATGAAGCATGGAGTTCTCTTAATGAACTCTTTTAATCCGTACCTCTGCAAGGCAAACATCCTCATGAAGTATGGATTTTTCCGTATACTTTCCCATATCCAAGTAAGGCATTCATTTGCCATAATCTGAACTCTTTCAATTTTCCATTTGTTGGCTACCAGATAAGTGGATATGCCTCTCCTCTATGGTAACTTTCATGAATGACATTGCTCTTTCTTTTTCCTGTACTGCAAGTTCTAGAAGACTAAAACTTCCACTCTTAGAGGATTGGTCCAGGACTTCAAAAATGATTACTTCCAGCTTCAATCTGTTCTATGTTCAATCATATATAAAAGGCATAACTAATGCATTATCCAGCACCCACATTTTTCCCTTACTGATTCCCACTTTGGCCTAGCTGATTGTCCTAATATCCATGTTAGTGCTAGGTAATATTTTGGAGTCAATTGTTGGTCATGCTCCTTCAACTGGCATCATGCAAAATTTCGGACTCACATTTATTGTTGATTTATGTGTGTTATTGCTGTTTTTTTAGCATTTGTAATGGACATAGATCTTGAAATTATTGTTGGAATGTTTTAGGACGCTGTTGTTATGTCTGATTAATGTTTTGACTTCCTAAGATGACATTGTCAAATGTAGTTGGGACATGGATTTCCGATTTATTTATTTAGTTTTTCCACATCACATTTCGGCAAATTTTCTGGCATCTCAAGCTTCATTCGTCTGTCTTTAGCAGCAACAGTTGGCGTGAATGTAGGTAGGTTTGAGTGTTCTTTATGGGCATCAGTAATAAGTCCTTTTCTCTGTTTTTTATCTTTTCATTGGTTTGTTTTGTGGATTTGACTCGTTCAACACTTTCTTGAGACTCGTTCCAACACTTTCTTGAGACTCGTTCCAACACTTTCTTGAAAGTTCCATTTTTCTCTTTTTCCATTTCTTAATTTAATAAGGTCTTGCTCTTGAATTCTTTTTTTTTCTATATCAATTGTATTGATGATTATATTGGCGACCACTCAGGTAACTTGTCCTTTCATTTTCTCCTGGTTCTTTAGGTTTGAATCAAGGTGTGACTGGTCTACCATTGAAGGGTTGGCCGTTAACTGTAAGTTACTATTTCTTTCATTCATCTTGTATGTTGAATTTCTACAATTTTGATATTCAGCTGTTCTTCTCATTGATATTGACAGGGAATTGACCATTTGAGGCCAAGTATGGGTTTGCAAGTACAGAAGCCCAATATACAGACCCAAAATCAATTTCTTTTGGCATCACAACAACAGCAGGTTCTTGCACAAGCTCAAGCACAAGGTAACCTGAATTTGGCATCACAACAACAGCAGGTTCTTGCACAAGCTCAAGCACAAGGTAACCTGAATTTGGCATCACAACAACAGCAGGTTCTTGCACAGGCTCAAGCACAAGGTAACCTGAATTCCCCTAATTATGGATACGGTGGATTACCAAGAGGTAACTTCAATACAAAAGATGTTCAGCCACCAAGAAATGATGGATCCATATGCTCTCCAGTACAATCAAATTCACCGAAGGTTAAGTCTACTCTCCTAGAATGAAGAACAATATCTGCATTGGCTTATTATTTTGTGTATTGCCCATTATGCAATCTTAAAATCTATTTTTCACAGCTAGAGCGCACAGGTTGTTTTCCTCATCCATTCAGAAATTTTAGTGCGTTGTATTTTCAACTGTATTTTCCTCAAGGTGCCTGTACTTGTAGTTTTTCTTCTTAGAGTGAAAAATGAAGAGATATGATGCAATTGAAGTTTGTCTTTGAAGGCAATGCATACAAATATTGAGGTCGCTGAAGCCAATTCATGCTAATAATGAGGAAATAGTGTAACATAAGCTGAACCATGTTGAGGAATTTCCCAATCTGGACTAAAAAGTTTAAGAGGGAGGGAGGGAGGGAGTAATAATAAAGCAGGTAATTCAAGGAATAGAGTTTCCCTTGCTTAGGAAATCTTTCTCTTTGTCAAGGCCTCTCAGTCAGGATGTTTGCTTCAGTTAGAGTGAAAATTTTGAGGAACCTCTTTTCTGTGAGAATTACCTCACTTCCATGATTTAGAGTAAATTCTCTAGATCTGCGATGCTCTAGACCCAACACTGTGGGAATACATTGGGTATGTTGTTCTGTGGAGTTGCGATGCTTAAGGTTGGTTGAAGTTCTTACCTTATTACGTTCTCAAAAAAAGAAGAAGCAGTCCTTACTTACCTTTGCTGGTGCATTGGTATACATTGCTTCAACCTAACAACACCACCACCACCACCCCCCNCTTAAACTTTGAACTTATCTGGTTCACCTAGCCTTCACCTTTACTATACTACTATACCCTTTTGGATAACCACCATGTTCTGATGCAAGACAATCATCAAAAACTGAGTGGGAATTTGTGGCCAATGGATTCTACAAATAAATTTTCTTGGTTCTTAGCCACTGAAGTGCCAGGATTATATATCAAAAGGTTGATGCAGTCGAAACCAATTGAAAACAAATTATTAGAAATTTGAGGCTAGATCTCAACCAAAATGCAATGAATTGTACATCTTTCAGAATAATTTCCATCATCCCAGCTTTCTCGAGCAGTTGCCATGCCTTGCCTTGCCTTGCAGCTATCCTTGAGAGCTCCTCTTAAATTGATCCGCACTGACTCATTGTGTGTGATGATGTTTACGGCTTTTAAACAATGATGTGTCTTACTGTATATTCAAAAAGGCTCTCTCATTTTAGTTGCAACGACTAGAATGTTATACTCTAAACTGCTTGTGTACTAATTACCTGTTTTTAACAGATGAAAATGGCCCAAATACAGCAATCCTCCTCTCAACAACAGGACCAGATGCAGCAGCAGCAACAGCAGCAACTGCCACAGGTTGGCTTAACCTGATAGAGTTCACATCTGATTTTAGCTTTGGTTATATCTACCAACAGATTTAGTTTCTATTAATTTAAATAATCTAAACTATCAAAGCAATGGAAGAGAAGTTTATCTTTCTTCTTCCTGTTATTCAGAACAGCAGAAAAAGGAAGCAGCATTCGTCATCTGGACCTGCCAATAGTACTGGCACTGGAAATACTGTCGGCCCTTCACCAAGCTCACCAGCATCAACTCATACACCTGGTGATGGGATGACTAGTGCTAGTAGCCTTCAGCACGTCAGCAGTGTGTCAAAAAGCATGATGATGTACGGAGGAGACGGAACTGGTGGTATTGCATCCTCTACAAATCAGCTGGTAAAACTCAGTTTTTCATGCACATCCTTGTATATTGCAGTTCTGTACATCTGTCATATTGGTAATGAAGTACTATTTATCATATAGTTCCTGGATCTTTGATGAATAAGAACACTGAGTTAATTAATTCTTTATGCATTTTGAAGTTTATAATCATGTTACATTTGAAATATAGTATCTCCAATATACCTTTATCCATTGTACAGGATGACTTGGAGACATTTGGAGACATTGATAATGTGGAATCATTTTTGTCACATGATGGGGGAGATGGAAGTATCTATGGCACACTGAAGCAAACTCTTACTGAGCACAAACCTGAGTCTTCCAAAGGTGATAACTCAATTGTGACGTGTAAATGCTGCTTTAGCCGTTGTTTTTCTTGCAAGTTTACTAAGAGGATACTATATCAGGATTCTCCTTTGGCGAAGTTGGTTGTATACGCACAAGGAATAAAGTTACTTGCTGTCATTTCTCATCGGATGGGAAGTTGCTCGCTAGTGCCGGACATGACAAGAAGGTAGAATGCACTTCCTTAGAATCTAATATCTTTAGCATGTAGATAATTGGATGGAGTATTGAAAATCCATTCCATTGGTGGATGTGCTTTTCAGTGGCTAAATCTACTTTATCTGTAAATACTTCACTAATGACTGAACATTTTCTGCCGCACTTTTGTTTTAATTAGAGCAATTGTCCTTACAAGTTCTTTCCTCTGTATTTGTCAGGCTGTTCTGTGGAACATGGATACCTTGCAAACGGAGACCACCCCTGAAGAACATCAATACTTGATTACAGATGTCCGGTTCAGGCCTAATTCAACTCAGCTTGCAACTGCTTCATTTGACAAGTCTGTGAGATTGTGGGATGCTGCTAATGTAATTTAGAAACTTTCTGCTGAATAATTATTTAATGTTCACCATGTTGAAGCAGGCCTTACCTCTAGTTTAGTTGCATTCTACATGACACCTGATACTACGTGCATACTTCTTAGATAATCTGAGTGTCATGTATTATTCAACAAAATCAATCTATATTTTACCACTTATTTATTACACAATGACCCCTTGTTAAATTTATCTTTTGCAGCCTAGCTACTGTTTGAATTCATATACTGGTCATACTTCTCATGTTATGTCGCTGGATTTCCATCCAAAAAAGAATGATCTGTTCTGTTTCTGCGATAGCAACAATGAGATTCGCTACTGGAGTATTAGTCCATTCTCATGTACTCGGGTGTCAAAGGTTTGCCGTTTAGTATTCATTATGTTCTTTTTTTATTTGTAGTGATAATTTTGCATTGAACTATCTTCAATTTGTCTCCTCTTTCTATTTGTAGCAAGGAGGCAGTGCACAAGTGAGATTCCAGCCCATAACTGGTCATCTGCTGGCTGCCGCATCAGATAAGGTGGTTTCAATCTTTGACGTTGAAAATGACAGGCAACTACAGTCTTTCCAGGTTCATCGTTACCTTCCCTCTTTTGGCGGATTAAATTCACTGTTACTCGATCAATCTATGTTTCTGGCACTTTTGTATTTTCTGGATGTTCCAGCCATGTGCCTCACATCCCAAAGTAAATGTGTTTACAGGGACATTCTGGAGTGGTGAACTACCTTTGTTGGGATCTCAATGGTGATCTACTGGCATCAGTAAGTGAGGAGTCCGTTAAAGTTTGGTCATTGACCACCGGTGATTGCATCCATGAGCTAAGTACCAATGAGAATCAGTTCCACTCTTGTGTCTTTCATCCTAGCTATTCAGCTCTATTGGTGATTGGAGGAATGAGGGTAATTATTGCTTTCTTTGCCAATTACTTCTATCATTTCTGTAAGATGTCCATTTAGTTAGCTCATGTTCATCCAGTACAACTGTTGAAAGAATACCCAACAAATCTCCTTTAAAATCTTGTATGCTTGGTATTGAAATCGACTATATTTTTGTGAATTCATGCAACAGTCTTTGGAGCTGTGGAACATGGTTGAGAATAAAAGCATGACAATTCCAGCCCACGATAACATTATCGCTGCTCTAGCACAGTCACCGGTGACTGGAATGGTCGCTTCCGCAAGTCATGACAGTTCTGTGAAGTTATGGAAATAAACAAGTCGCCGCAACGTCACCATAAGAGCGGTGGACATTTACTTCTGCTCGAGGTGCTCAGGGAAAAAGTCCGCATTGATGTTGTAGTCTGTATTGTTTAAAGAAATATCCATTTTTCTGTTTGTTAGTCACATTAGAGTTATGGTTTGCTTAAAGCAAGTTGAGCACACTGAGCAAATGTTTCGGTAGTTCTAGGGGAAGCATAACAACTTCTGCATCTGTTCTGGTGATTAACAACAACTAATAACATGATATAAATTTCAGCTTATGCTGTGTGCGGCAAATGTGTCGAGATGCCATCCCCCGCAACATGTCCTATGCCTGAGAAGACCCGATTTCGAGCCCTTCATAGTCGAACTAATGAAAACTAAGACGATTTAGAAAAGAATTCAAGAATTACTTTTAAGTAGAATCTTACGAGGTCAGCTTTTTTTAAAAATCAATTAGAGGTACTGAATAAGATCTTTAAAAAGATATTAATTTAAAACAAAAAGGCAGGTGGGGATAGGGAGAATCACAACAATTAACAAAGACGTGCTTTTAATTCTTGGAGATGAGATTTTTTCTCAGTGATGCATATTATATTATTTCTATCTTCACCCTTGGTGAGGCTGCATCTAAGCAAGGAATTGCTAGTCAAGTAAGTTCTCTAGAGATAAATTAATACATGGTTAGCTCATTATACCGTAATTATAACATTTTAATGTAGAGTTACTACAAATAAGCAAATAAACGCACATATCATGCTCTAGTCTTATTAATAATAATGCAAAATAAAGACGCTCATGGTCGTGTTATAAATAGAATATTTAAGTTTGTAAAGTGTATCAGCGTGACTGAAAATTCACATGTCAATTAAAAAGAGTAAGTGTTAGTGAAGGTTGTTTTTTTTATTAGGTTATAACAAAATTGAAGGGAAGTTGATGGTAAAATATAGCAAACTAAGGGTATGGCAGGAAAAATTGTAGGGTTAGGGGCAAGAGGCCGGTAATGACCTCGCCTAAAGATAAGATATATTGCTAATAAATATTAAGCAAAAATCAAGTGTATTTATAATCTTTGCATTGAATGAATGAATAAATGCATAACATATCTCTTCTATACAATATATTTATATTCTCATCAGAATTTGTGATAGATGTTTCTTCTCGAATACGATCAAATATCTCTATGACAACACCGTTATATAACAGTCATTTACTATCAAAGTAAAATTTTTTATGAAATCAATTTTATGTTATATTATATTATATGTTCTTTATAACAGCACTTCGCTATAACAGCCAAAAAAATTCGAAACAAATGAGGCTTGATTGTACTAGATATGCAAGCAAAAACTTATCCAACCAAAAATACAAGAAATATCTCATTTTTAAAAGCTAATACTATCATCTAATCTTAGCTATTCAAGATGAGTTTAGTGCGTCGTGTCAAATTAAAACTCAATAAAAAACGAGAATCGTTCGTGCTACTTTTACATCACTCCATGGTAGCAGCCTATAAAAAACAAGATAAAGCTACTTCTACCTAATCAGACCCCTCCCTATATACCTTCATTAATATTAGGCTTATTAGTCAAAAGATTAGGCAGATAGTTCATTAAGGGAATGGAATTGATGAAACAGAAAAGGTTAGGAATGGAACTGGTGAAACTGGAAAAGGTTACTTTCACTCCCTATATATATATTGGATGAAGAACATGTGTTAGTAAAATTCATATACTACCCCCATTTTTGCTAAAAAACAGACCGAACGCCTTTGAGTTATTAGCTCATTGTTATTAATATAAGTAAACATGGCTTCACCCATGGATAAAATTGTTATATCCACTGAAGAGGAAAATTCAATGATGAAGGCTATGCATCTTCCTACTGGTTTATTCCTTAGCATGGTTTTAAAAGCTGCCATTGAACTTGGCTTGTTTGAGATCATAGCAAAAGCAAATAGTCAATTATCCTCCTATGATATTGCATCTCAACTTCCCACAAAAAACCCTAAAGCCCCACTTGTTCTTGAAAGGATTCTAAGGTTTCTTGCTAGCCAATATTTTCTCACTTCCAACATTTCCAAGGATGATGATGGAAAAATTCACACATCATACAGTTTGACACCTTTGAGCAAGAGTTTAATCTCCGATAAAAACGGATCATCTTTTGCTACTTTTTACTATTGGCGACTGATCCAGTAGGTATTAGTTCCTGGTACAATTTTATATTTTCTCATATTTAGTTCATTGAGTTTAACTTCTATACACTAACGTATAAGAATTTTGTACTATCAAGTCACATACTTGCTACAAGAAGACAAAATACATTGATTGTGTAAAGCTTTTGTATATTGTTAGTCTATTTAAGTTAAATCCTTGTTTCATTTGTGATTCGAGATCTATGTTGATTGGATATATTTTGACTTCTTGTTAAGGATTCATTTGAAAGATGCAATTCTAGAGGGTGAAATACCATTCAACAAGGCTCATGGAATGCATGCATTTGAATACCATGGAAAAGATAGTAGATTCAATATGGTGTTCAATAAAGCTATGCAAAACATCTCTTCCATTGAAATGAAGAGAATTCTTGAGTCTTACACTGGCTTCCAAGGAGTAAAAGAGGTCATAGATGTGGGAGGTGGACTTGGGGTATCATTAGCTTCTATAATTTCCAAGTATCCTAATATCAAGGGTATTAATTTTGACCTACCCCATGTCATCAAAGATGCTCCTAACCATGCAGGTAATTTATTTTCCTTAATTATTAAGGATTTTTTTTACTTTTAGCCCGCACCAGAAACTATTTATATTTGGTAGCCGAAAAAGTGTATAAAATTTGTATAATTTTTGTATATAACATACATAATGTATATAGATATATACAAAAAATATACATTTTTCAGCTATTATTTTAAGAGTAGCTATACAATGTTATTTTCCCAATTACTTACTAATCATTTTAATTGAATATGGATCATATTCTTGAACTAATTATCTACTTGTTAGTCCCAAACAACACGTTTATATTTAAAAATTTAAAGCTGTATTTCATGGATATTGAAAGATCAAATTAAGCTTCAACTCTTGCTTGTTATATTAGGCATAGAGCATGTCGGAGGAGATATGTTTAAGAGCGTTCCTAAAGGGGAGGTAATCATTCTCAAGGTCAGTATTCTTTGTCATATTCATACGGAGATTTAACTTATATACACTGGTATTGTAAAGATTCTTTTAATTATATTAGTTGTGTAGTTTAATCTTCGATAATAACTTGGTTGTCATTTTTACCAAGTTACTGTTTAATACATATCATAAAAATTTACTTGTAATTTTCTTATAAGTGACCTGTGTATCATCAGGTTAAGTCTGTTTGTTACAAACATGATCTAATAACCAAGAAAATAAATAGAAGCAAATTACAAAATTATATCGATAATGAAATTTTTTGTACACTGTCAATGTATATGTTGTAGGCGACACTTCATGATTGGGATGATGACTATTGCCTGAAAATTTTAATAAATTGTTGGGGAGCTTTGCCAGAAAATGGTAAGGTTGTGGTAATAGAACAAATACAGCCAGAATATCCAGAGACTAATCTTCTCTCTAAGCATTCATTTGGTATGATATGTTAATGATTACTGTGTTTAATGGGGGGAAAGAAAGAACAAAGCAAGAATTTGAAGCTTTAGCAAAAGAAGCTGGATTTTCTGCTCTCAAAATTGCATGTCGTGCATATTATTGCTGGGTCGTGGAATTGTACAAATGTTAACTTATTATACTTAGTCGGAGGCTGGGCCAGGATTTGAATTGGTATTCTAGCCTTTTTATGTTATTGGCAACAAAGGTCAAGTACACTACTCCAAAGCAACCTCATTACAACCAGGACAAAACAACAGAGTTCATCGTCAAGCTCCTCCAATTCTTGGTTCCTCTGATTATTCTAGGTGTGGCTTTTGGCGTTCACTTCTACACCAAACAGTCAGCTTGAAGATTGATTATGGTGATCTCATAATAAGAATCCAAATTAGCGAGACGTTAGAAGAGCAAAGAGGAAGGGCAAAAAAGAGCTTTTACTTTGTTAACCAGGCAAATAATCTTGGTTAAGTTCTACTCTGGGAACAGTAAAGATATATTTGGTTTCTGTGTTAGTGAGGATGCCTTTGCTTTTCTTTGTTGCCATTCAACTAGTCTTCTTTTTTATTATCTTAAGTCTCTGAACTTGGATTCTTGGCTTTCGGTGTTTGCTTTTATAATCTTATTACCTGACTAGTCGTTGCACGTGTATGCCATATCGATATTTGCATAATGTATATTTATAGTTATAACTTATTTATATATAATCTAAAAATTAGATTTATAAGGATAGGAAATTAAAGAATAAGTTTAGAAAGTAAAACTCGATTTTATCTCCACTTTCTTCTTGATATAAAGGCGAAAAAGAGAAATCAACCCTCTATTTATCTTTCTCCATAGTGTTGCAAAAGTAAAATAATCAAAATGTTTAGCTTTCTACGTTCTTTGTCAAAGGTGGACGTGTTTCTCGTCTTCGTGCTTTTTTTATAACCAGCCAATTGCTATGAAGGTTAACATTTCAAAATTTTTTGTGATGGTGTTTATTGATCTATCCTTCAATATTTGCTTGCAGTTTGTTGTGAACGTTTGCACTTTGAGTTCATGGGTAAAGCAGTAGAATTCTTTCTTTCCCCATGAAAAAAGGATTCTAATAGGAAAAGAAATAAATTTACATATTGGGATGGTACTGAACAAAATAAGACAATTGAAAAGAGACTATACTTATATGGAAAAATAGGAATTTCTGACAAAAAGAAGAGAAAAATGTTGAAGTGATTTGACATTTTGATGTGTGCAATAGAAGATATGAAAAGTCTAAACGGGGGAATTTCAAAGGGCTATTTGCACATTTTGAATCTCAATAACTACTGATAGTCTAAACAGTCCTCCCCATTTATTAAGCAAAATAGCAATATGAAAATGGGTTGAGACCTGTGTTTTATGATTATGAGATGAGGTGTCACATAGTGACTTTTATTTGAAAGATTTATATTCGAAAGATTTTACTTTGAAAGATTTATATTCAAAAGATGTTTATTTGAAAACTTATATTTGAAAGATTATATTTGAAGGACTTACATTTGAAAGGTGTATATTTGAGGGACTTGAATAATTGGTTGTACTTGTGTTCCTTATTTGTTTGAGTAATATTTATGATATTCTTGTGGCCTGGTTGTTCATATCCCTAATTGATCCTCGTTGCC